AGGTCATATATATATGAGCGCGCGGGACAAATTCAACATTTTCAGTGGGCAGGAAATTTTGAATTTTGCCCGGTTGCAGCCGAAGATTTCTCTTATCAATTTTGGACCTTCAAGGGATCTTTAACGTGCACAACTTGAACACGGGACTTCCGAGATTTTTCTCCCTTGTCCGAGAAGGCTAGGTGTAGATCTTTCTTACCTTAAGATCAAGGGTATGGCTGATAGACAGTAGTAAGAAGAGGACAATGAGTGCTGTAGAAAGGCTGCAGAAAGAGTCAGAAGCCCAGAGGAGGGGCAGAGGATGTGAGGAGGAAGAGAAATGGGTGTTTGTCCGTCATTCCAGATACGTTTTCTGTCGACATACAGTTTATTGTTGTGTTGTTTGTATTCACAGAGCTATTCCAAAATGCATTGATAAACTATTAAAAAGTAATTTAGAGGTAAAGGCGTATGTGATGTATAGGTTATAGGCGCGCAGTTAAAGCTTTCCAATCAAGACCAATTAAAAGATTTAATCACTGAGGATTCGGACCAATATCATCCGCATTTTAGTCCAGCAGGATGCCAACTAAGGTAGCATATTTAGAATGCCCCCCCCCCCCCCCCCGGGTCAAATACCTTTCCTCTTCCTCCTTCTTTGTTTGGGTAGAGGACGTGGATAGTCTGAAGTCTTGAGGATTGTAGGGGAGAGCTGGGATGCTTCAGACACTTTTTACGTTTGGCTCCACCGCTCGATTAAGGAACAATTTAAACCTAAGAAAAGGGTTTAAACATTGATGTAAGCCATTTGGGCATAACCACTTGCGGTATCAGCTTTGTGCATCATCACGTTTTACCGCAAGAGTATCATATCTGAGGTACCCTAATAGAGAGGTCCGAAACCACTCCACTCTGTTGGAGACGTCGGACAAAAGTGAGGGAAACTGCGAATGAAGAGGGGTGACTTCGGACAGTGTGTCTCGAGTATCATATATTATATTTGAGAGGCAAAGCTTCGACACAGCATACATCTATACTTTTACCTTTTGTTCGCGGTGTGAAACTGTATTTCACATTCACTGGAAATCGTAGAAAACTGATCCAACCGCCTGCCCGCGTTTATGCACATCTGTAAGTGTTGACTTGAAATCTCCCCTTGGAATTGTAAAACGGAGCCTATTAATGCCCCTAACAACAAGTTGCAGAGACAGACAAAGATGAAAAGAATTGTTTTCCACGTCAATTTCCGAGTCTGTCACCGTCTTGATATGGTGAGAGCATAGCATACACGAAGGTGCTCCATTTGTTGAGCTGTTTTCGCTGAGCGGCCCTCTAGTTCGAATCCAGATATGTCGTTCTTGAACACGGGCTATTTGAAGGGTTTTCAACAGTTTTCATGACTTTCCGTCACGTCCTGACTGATATACGTAAAATCGGAGATCTATCATCTTAGGTGACTAGACAGTTATGGTGCTCCGGGAGGCGTACCATAACCTATTCAAACAACTTAGGGAAACATTGTTTGCTGATTCAAAACAGTAAATCTGAATTTTCTTCTTAAAAAGATCTTCAAGTGTTGCACGTTGACCTTTTGAAGGTGAAATTCAAACGCGCTGGATAATTCAGTGCGAATAGGTAAATATAAATTAACCGATGCCAATCTAATGGCAAACTTATAAGAAATAAGAGCCTAATTTTGACCTCTTTGTTGAGCCTCAAACCGGAGAATGAATCATGGTCTCATTTTACAATGGCCAAATCTTTCATAGGTGGATAGAAGAAAGAATTGCTTTCTTATTAGATTTTCTTAGGGAAGACACTCAACGTCACCCTTTTAGTCTTTCTCTGACGCAATTCTCTCACACAGCGTACACACTCCCCAATAATCCCAAGTTCACAACAAAGTTACGCTCTTTAGGTTCCATGCACGGGAACGGCGCCACTTTCGAACCAGAACCCAGAAAGGCAGTCTTTTTGGGTAGAATTGGTTCATAATACGCCATGTTTTGGGGCATTTTATAATGCTCGCCATGACAGATTATAT